CTCTTGTTTTCAGCTCAGTTCATGACCCAGGGTCTTGGGGTCAAGCCCCATGGGATTCTCTCTCTCCTCTACCGCTCTGCCCTGCTTATGCCTGTGTGTGTGCGCGCGCTCTCGCTCTCTCTCTCTCTCTCTCTCTCAAAAAAAAAAAAGAATATCTTAAGTTTTAGGATAATTATTAAATTCCTCTTTCAGATAACATTTAGCTAAAATAAAATAAAATGATGGATTCTAGGTAACCTTAGATAATCCTGATAAAAATTATATGATCCATATATGAAACATTGCTTGTCTTTATGTTATCTAATATAGAGGCAATATGCCTGGCTCATTAAAAAGTGCTTTCACATTCACTGTTATTCAACGTAGTATTGGAAATCCTAGCCTCAGAAATCAGACAACATAAAGAAATAAAAGGCATCCAAATCAACAAAGAAGAAGTCAAACTTTCACTTTCACAGATGACATGATACTCTATGCGCAGACGACATGATACTCTACATGGGAAATCCAAAAGACTCCACCAAAAACCTGCTAGAACTGATCCATGAATTCAGCAAAGTTTCAGGATATAAAATCAATGCACAGAAATCTGTTGTATTTCTATACACCAATAATAAAGCAGCAGAAAGAGAAATCAAGGAATTGATCCCATTTACAACTGCACCAAAACCCATAAAATACCTAGGAATAAACCTAACCAAAGAGGTGAAAAATCTATACACTGAAAACTATAGAAGGCTTATGAAAGAAATTGAAGAAGATACCAAAAAATGGAAAAACATTCCATGCTCATAGAGTCAAAGCACAGTGTTAAAATGTCTATACTACCCAAAGCAATCTACATATTCAATGCAATCCCTATCAAAGTAACACGAGCATTCTTCACAGAACTAGAACAAATAATTCTAAAAATTGTATGGTACCAAAAAAACCCTGAATAGCCAAAGCAATCCTGAAAAATAAAACCAAACCTGGAGGCATCACAATTCCGGACTTCAAGCTATATTACAAAGCTGTAATCATCAAGACAGTATGGTACTGGCACAAAAACAGACACTCAGATCAATGGAACAGAATAGAGAACCCAGAAATGGAACCACAAACATATGGCCAACTAACCTTTGACAAAGCAGGAAAGAATATGCAATGGAATAAAGACAATCTCTTCAGCAAATGGTGTTGGGAAAACTGGACAAGTGACATGCTGAAGAATGAACCTGGACCACTTTCTTACACCATACACAAAAATAAACTCAAATTGGATGAAAGACCTAAACATAAGACAGGAAACCATCAAAATCCTAGAGGAGAAAACAGGCAACAACCTCTTTAACCTCAGCCACAGAACTTCTTACTCAACATGTCTCCAGAGGCAAGAGAAACAAAAGCAAAAATAAACTTACCAAGATAAAAAGACCTCATCAAGATAAAAATCTTCTGCACAGTGAAGGAAACAATCGGCAAAACTAAAAGGCAACTGGCAAAATGGGAGAAGATATTTGCAAATGGCATATCATATAAAGGGTTAGTATCCAAAATCTGTAAAGAACTCACCAAACTCCACACCCAAAAAACAAATAATCCAGTGAAGAAATGGGCAAAAGACATGAATAGACACTCTTCCAAAGAAGACATCCAGATGGCTAACAGACACATGAAAAAATGCTCAACATCACTCATCGTCAGGGAAATATAAATCAAAACCACAATGAGATATCACCTCACACCTGTCAAAATGGCTAACATAACAACTCAGGCAACAACAGATTGTGGCAAGGATACAAAGAAAGAGGAACCCTTTTGCACTGCTGGTGGGAATGCAAACTGGTGCAGCCACTCTGGAAAACAGTACGGAGGTTCCTCAAAAACTTAAAAATAGAACTACCTACAACCCAGCAATTGTACTATTAGATATTTATCCAAAGGATACAAAAATGCTGATTCGAAGAGACACATGCACCCCAATGTTTATAGTAGCACTATCAACAATAGCCAAAGTATGGAAAGAGCCCAAAGGTCCATAGGCAGATGAATGGATAAAGATGTGGTATATACAGATATACAATGGAATATTACTCAGAAATCAAAAAGAATGAAATCTTGCCATTTGCAACAATGTGGATGGAACTAGAGGATATTATGCTAAGTGAAATTAGTAAGGGAAAGACAAGTATCATATGGCTTCACTCATATGTGGAATTTAACATACAACACAGATGAACATAAGGGAAGGGAAGCAAAAATAATATAAAAACAGGGAGGGAGAAAAGACATAAGAGACTCTTAAAGAGAATAAACTGAGGGTTGCTGGAGGGGTTTTGGGTAAGGGGATGGGATAAATGGGCAAGGGGCATTAAAGAGGAGACTTGTTGGGATGAGCACTGGGTGTTATATGTAACTGATGAATCATTAAAATCTATTGCTGAAATCATTATTACACTATATGTTAACTAACTTGGATGTAAATTTTAAAAAACAATAATAATAAAAGTGGCATCACATGAATAAGAAGCAAATATTCCCAATGAATATTTTAACTGCTTTGTTCAGAGAAATTTTCTCTATCTAAATTTTTGCAGAAATATTATGATGCAGGCAAGGTATCTATATGTTAAGACTGTTTAGTTTTAGCTCATGACTCTAAGACTTTAATCAGTTCAGTTTAAAGACTAGGAAAAGTAAATAAAAGCTATAAATTATCTAATGTTGCTGTTGGTGGATTATTTCATAGTAGATAACCATGTCAACAGCTTGTCTACTCCACAGGTGAAACACTGGGCCAGGAATTTAGAGTTGTAATTTGTCAAGCAAACATCTAGTATACAGTGTTGATGGAACATATAATAAAGTATTAATAATGCCCATATTATTTTGGGGTAGTAGAAGACTGCCCTTTTTGAGTATGGAATGTCTATACTTGGATCTAGCCATGTATAAGCACATCTGAACAAGGAAGGATTGGAACACAGCATTCATAACATAACGACGTTCAAATATCTCTATAGGTAAAAAGTCTTCATAAAATTGGAAAAATATATTGGCTGACTTAAAGGGGGGAATAGTAATGAGTACAGTTGCATATGTGGTAAGTTCCAGGCACTGGTGAAGCAGTCAAGCATCAAGGACCCTGAAGTAGCTAGAAAGGTAAAATTATAGGGTTGAGGGATAGATTTGGGATTCAGCTACTGAAACCATATGAGTTGAGCTCCTAGAGAAGGAGCATACACAGGAGAGAACAGGGGTCCAAGGCCTGAAGCTTGTGGGACTCTTGTGACTACAAGTCAGGAAGGGAAGTTGACAGAAATGTGGAGACAAGTCAGAGAAGATGATAATTGAAGAATGAATCTCATATTTGGATTAAAGCAAATCACTCATTTAGATAATCAGCTATTAAACCAATATTTAGAGTGCTTATTTGTACCTGCACCTGTGCCAGGAGCTGGAGATATAAAGATGGAAGGATGCATGTCTTGCTTTTTAGGGTTGGAATAGAAAACTAAGCAATATTATATAAGATGATAATTGTTTCTATTATGAGATACTCACAAATTACATGGAACTTTTCAGGGATGTCTTCTTCAACCCTCAATTCCCTCCCAGTTAACCAAATTTCCTCTCTCCATCACAGCCAAATTTTGACATTTGCTGTTTCCATTTCTTTACTTCTTATTCCTCAACTCACTCTAGGGTAGCTCTTGCAGCCACCACTCCCCCAAAGTTGCTTTCAAGTGTCCCTGCTAAATTCCAAGGTAATCTTCAGTCCTTATATGCTTGACCTCTTGTCAGAATTTGATACCCTTAATCATTCTTTCTTTTTAAAATACTTTCTTTCTTTGGCTTTGCAAGGCAACACATTCTCTCTCACCTTATTGGCCAGTTCTTTGAAGAACTTCCTCTACACCATAAATATCGGGGATCCCTAGAGCTCTATCTTCTTTTTTTTAAGTTTAGTTATTTATTTTTTAGAGAGGTGGGGAGGGGCAGAGAGACAGAGAGAGAATCCCAAGCAGGCTCTGTCATTGCAGAGCCCAATGTGGGGCTCAAACCCACAAACCACAAGATCATGACCTAAGCAGAAATCAAAAGTCAGATGCTTAACCTACAGAGCCACCCAGGCGCCCCTCTCTTCTTATTATGTGTACCCAAATTAGTTCCTCACCATACTCATCATACTTCATGCTATTTCATTGTCTTTCCTAACACTGTAAACTTTGGGAGGCCAGGATTATGTCCCTGCTCTATTTCCAATGCTAGCCCCATGTATGACATGAAGTTTGTGGTTAATAAATATTGACTAAATGAATAGTGACTAACTCTGAGAATCCTTTAAAAGTCATATTTGAATTGAGACTTAAAATAGTAGGAATATCAAGAAAGTAGATGGTAAATGATTAGAGACATTTGTGGAGTTTTGAACAGATGAGTGATATACCAAGATTTGAAAGTTGGATCACTCCAGTGGCAGTGTGGGAATAGATGGGAGAAGAGGATTCAGGACAACTGATATTGCAGTAGTTATAGTAAAGAGGCCAATGGCTATAGAGATAAAGGAAAGGGTAAATGAATGGTTCAAAACATAATTAGGAGGTTGAACCAATAAGCCTTAAAGATGAATTGGCTACAGGAAGTGACAGAGAGGAATCTTGGATGCCTTGGATTCCTTCACTAGCATAGGACACATAGGAGAAAAGAAATTGGGGAGAAAAGATTAGGACCCAGTGAGATCTAGGTTTTTAAGTGTTCCATTATGGGTGCAAAAGTTAGAATACATTATAAAGTCTAGGAGTTCAGGAACCATGTCAGTTTAATCACATAGTTCATCCTAATGTTGGTGCTTGAAAAATTCCTTTGATGGTATTGATGGAATACCACATTGCCAATACTGCATTGCAGTTCCATCTAGGGGATCCCCCTTCTACAAAGACGTGTGTTTATTTACTCATCCCAGTGGGGCTTTATGACTAGGTTGCCCTTTAGATGAACATTATCTATTTTTGCAGATGCTGTTTCAAAATTGATTAGTTCTCCAACCCGCCCACTGAAATCATCCAACCTATTGAAGAAGCAGAATGGGATGTGGATTATAGGGTTTCAGATAACACCAAGTCCCTTGTGAAAGGTATGTTATTTCATTGCTTTGTTCTGCTTTTGGAAGAGTGTAACTGTGTTTTCTTTTCTCCAACTGTATAGGTCACAGCAATTTTTTTTTCCACCGGGAATTACAAGCTATAAGGAAGATTTCCAGAGTAGAATCACAGTCTCACACAAATGCTAAATACAACTAATCAGGGCCTGGAAGGTACACAGAGGGTAATTAGTAGGTTATATTTGGGTCAGTACTAAGGTCATTTATGAGATACTACAAGAAAAAGACTGTTTGCCTTTCTGTAGAGAAAAATGGAAATACATTCATTTTGTGCACTGTAATATTATGCATTAAAATGGGTTAAAGGCATTTCTGGTAATTTCACATGTATATGTATCTCTGTATGTAAGATGATTTTAAAGCACAAACTGAAACGTTGTACTCTATTCATAATGAGAGTATTAAAATTGGTAACAAGGAATTGCATAAGTTTGTCCACTATGCTATAACTAGTGTCAGAATTGACAAAAGGGGATGTTCATTCTTAACATAGTAGGCTTCTGCTACTAAAGAGATAGATACTTATTTGGTAGTCTTAAAGCCTTCACTGTACAACTATCACTAATGAATTCATAATAATAAACCATGTCATGTTTATAGTAGATCTTAGTTCCATGGCCTGTGTGGGCTTTTCAGGGCTTCCCTGACTACTGTGAACATTAAATGAGAGAAAATAATGTTAACTCAAAGTGCAAATGTAGGATACACATTTAGGAATCACTGAAGACAGTGTAGGATTATCAAATTGGTGAACTACAGGAATGTACTAAAAACAAAAGACATAAAATCTCTTCTTCACATACTCATACAAGGTGATCTCATTTTCACCCATTGTTTTAACCACCACTCTAATGGAACACATTTCTCCTCACTTTCTCTCTCTGGGTCAGACCATCCCTCTTTTTTTTTTTTTTTTTCTTTCTTTTTCTTTTTTTTTTTATTTATTTATTTTTTATATATGAAACTTATTGTCAAATTGGTTTCCGTACAACACCCAGTGCTCGTCCCAAAAGACCATCCCTCTTAAAGTACAGATCCACAGATCCAACTGCCTTCTATATCTACATCAATTTCTGTCTAAATCCACAACTTTATCAATATCTTTTTATTCCAGTGTTCAAAGTTAAGCTCATTATCTTCTCCCATAAACCTCTCCTTCCTGCTGAGGTTTCAAATAACCCAAATGTTTAGACCTGGGTATCACCCTCCTTTCCTCTCTCTCCTTCACTGCTTGTGTATAAACAGGCACTTCTTAGAATAACTTGGCCTAGGGGCGCCTGGGTGGCTCAGTTGGTTAAGTGGCCAACTTCGGCTCAGGTCATGATCTCGAGGTCCGTGAGCTTGAGCCCCGTGTCGGGCTCTGTGCTGACAGCTCAGAGCCCGGAGCCTGTTTCAGATTCTGTGTCTCCCTCTCTCTGACCCTCCTCTGTTCATGCTCTGTCTCTCCCTGTCTCAAAAATAAATAAACGTTAAAAAAATTTTTTTAAATAAAAAAAAGAATAACTTGGCCTATAAATATCTATGGAGACCATTCCTTTTATTCCCTTTTGTCAGTCTTAATTCAGGTCTTCATGATTTTTTCCCCTAAATGATTCTAATAATCTCTTAATGGATCTCTCAGCTTCAGTGTTTTCTGATCTTCTCTCTTTAATTCATTCTTTGAATCTCTACCAGAATGTTTTAAAATACAAATCTGGCCATGTAACTCCCCTCCTTAAATCCTTGATCTGTCTCTCTTGCCCTAAAAAAAATGACCCTTAACTTCTACTTCTCACATAAAATAAAAGGCATCAACCATGAACACTCTTTTTTTTATGTTTATTTAGTTTTTTGAAAGACAGTGTGAGTAGGGGAGAGGCAGAGAGAGAGGGAGGCAGAGGATCTGAAGCAGACCCCATGCTGACAGCAGGGAGCCTGACACTGGGCTCCAATGCGAGATCATAACCTTAGCCAAAGTCAGATGCTTAACTGACTGAGCCAACCAGGTGCCCCAAGCATGAACACTCTTAACTTTATTCACCTCTTCCTGTGTGCATATGTATTTTCACTATTCCTATCTTTGCCTCCTTCTCACCTTCCTTCTTTCTGGCAAAAACAAAGTTCTGGGCCTGTGATCTATGTCTCTTTTCTCCCTCCCCAGGGCTCTCAGACCATCATTTGTAGCCATTCTCCTCATTCTCTACTTCTCTGCTGCCTCATTCCTCTTAACATACAGACATGTCCAAGTTTCCTTGATCTTAAACAAACGAAAGTCATCCCTCAGATGAAACAAGGCCAAAACAGAACTCACCATTTCCCCATAGCACCTGTAGTTAACTGTTTTTTGTCCTTCAAAACAGAGCTCAAGCTGTACTCCCCACTCCAGTTCTGTGCTATTATATCATCTTCAATATTTACCTATCAAACACTTCATATATCAGAGTTAACTATTTATTTGCTTGTCTTGCTTATTAGACTGTGAGCTTCTTAAGTGTGAAAACAGGTATTATATCATTATTATCAGAAATTAATTAAGTAATGAGTATATATGTCAAAACATAATCTCAGGTCTGGACACTATTATTTTTATAAAGTTTCTATTTTTAGCTCTCATTTTGTCAGAAACTAAAGTTAATCAATCAGGTTTTTTACCCATTCCCCTACTCCCTAAAGAGTTGTGTATAGATTCCAGGCAGGTTATAAAGTACTGATGCTGGTGGAGGTAGGGCATGGGACATGTCTGGTCCCAAGTTGCCCAGGCTGCATCTCTGTGATTCCCCATTCCTGCCTGGTCTCCATTTAATGTACATTCAAATGTCTGCACCTTCCTGATCCAGACAACAAACCGACCTGATTTCTCTCAACTACTTTCTTCTCTCAGGAGACATGTAACTGGAATTTCTCTTGTTCCTTTTCCATCCTGAGATTAAGACAGGGTTGAGCACTGAGTAGGACCTCATCCCAGGAAATACCAATTTCTTAGCTTTTTCTAACTTTGTCTCTCTCTCTCTCTCTCTCTCTCTCTCTCTCTCTCTCTCTCTCTCTCAATCTGCCTCCCGGAAACAGCTGTTATCAAGCTGGCTTTGACCTTTGCTTCTAAATCTGTTAGCATAAACTTTATGCCCTGAGTATTTCAGGGGTTAGGCCTTTGAAACTCCAAATCCTAGTGTATTAGTCCTGATGCTTTCTACTGGAAAAGAAAAAGAAAGAAGGAAAGAAGGAAAGAAGGAAAGAAAGAAAGAAAGAAAGAAAGAAAGAAAGAAAGAAAGAAAGAAAGAAAGAAA